TGAACAAAACAAAAAGACAACCCACCAACTGCGAGAAAATATTTGCAAATCATATATCCAACAAAGGGTTAACCTCCAAAGTATATAAAGAACTCATACAACTCAACAACAAAAAACAAACAACCCAATAAAAAAAATGGGCAGAGGATACAAACAGACATTTTTCCAAAGATACACAGATGGCCATAAGGCACATGAAAAGATGTTCAACACCACTAATCATTAGGGAAATGCAAATCAAAACTACAATGAGATATCACCTTACACCTGTGAGAATGGGTTTAATTACCAAGGCAAAAAATAACAGATGTTGGAGAGGATGTGGAGAAAAGGGAACCCTCATGCACTGCTGGTGAATATGCAAACTGGTGCAGCCACTACGGAAAACAGTACGGAGATTTCTCAAAAAATTAAAAATAGAAATACCGTATGATCCAGCTATCCCACTACTGGCTATTTATCCAAAGAACTTGAATTGACAATTCAAAGAGACTTATGCACCCCTATGTTCATTGCAGCATTATTCACAATAACCAAGATGTAGAAGCAACCCAAGTGCCCATCAACTGATGAATGGATAAAGAAGATGTGGTGTACGTATATACAATGGAATACTACTCAGCCATAAAAAAGACAAAATTGTCCCATTTGCAACCACATGGATGGAGGTTATGATACCTTGAGGGTATGATGTTAAGTGAAATAAGCCAAACAGAGAAAGACAAACATCACATGATTTCACTGGTATGTGGAAGACAAACAAACACATGGACAAAGAGAAAAGATTAGTGGTTACCAGAGGGGAAGGATGCTGGCTAGTGGATGAAATGGGTAAAGGGCACATATATATGGTGACATAAAAATTAGACTATTAATGGTGAGCATGATGCAGTCTATAGAGAAACTGATAAATAATAATGTACACTTGTAATTTCACAATGTTATAAACCATTATGATCACAATAAAATATTTTTTTTAAAAAAACATACTATTTCAAATTGAGTGCAATTGCAGCCAGGCCTACATATCACAACAGATCCCTCCAAGACCTCTTAATTTCCAGCATCCACAAATTGTTGTGCAAAAGGGGGACTCTGACAGTTGCCATCATGACAACAGAGCACAGAGATTCTTGGTCATTTCCTTAGGATTTGTTTGATTCTGCAATCAAGGGCTAATTGAGAGTTGTGGTCCTCTTCTCCAGGAGTGTCGCAGATCCCAGGCTTCACCTTCACTCAGACATTTACTGTTTCTTCAAGACACTCAGTTGTGATAGAGGCTGGACTTCTGCACTGATCTTTTTTTAAAAATAACTTAAGCTTTTTTATCAATTTCAGGCTACATACAAAGAAAAGAAATAGGACCTACGGACATTTTTGGCATTTGATTATTTACAGTTATTTTAAGTAATTGTTTCACATTTATGCATTCAACAAATATTTACTCAGCATCTACTCTGTGACAGATGCAGGGTCAGGCAGTTGGTCATAGAAGTGTGAGGAGAAATACTCTGTTCCTTCCTAGAGCTTACCAGCTAGTAGAGGATACAGACTTTAATCAAATAACACATTAATCATGTATCATTACAAACTGAAGTAAGCATTCTGAGGGTAAGTCACACAATTCTTTGAGGATATTCATTCAACCAATGTTCACTAAACTCATCTTATGTGCTAAGTACATCACAGTCTGACATACCAGCTATGTGATCTTGGACAATTTACTTAACCTTTCTTAGCCACCACTTACTCATCTGTAAAATGTAATAGTATCTACCTCATATGGTCTTTATGATAGCTAAATGATTATTATATGTAAAGCAATTAACATAGTGCTAGCATATGATAAATGCTCATCCACTCAAGTACAATCATAGGCTGCTCCTGGGGAATAGAAACGACAGCATGTGTGCTATAACTTTGCTGCACAGCCACTACCAAGCACTGGGGATACAAAAATGGATACAATGTGACCACGTTCTAGAGAAACTTCGTGGGATGGGGGAAGCAGCCAATTTGAGAGATCGTTTCTAGTATAGTATAGTATAGAAAAATGAATGAATAGATTCAGAACTTACGTCAAAGCAAAACTTTAAAACTTTTGGTACAATATATATCTTTCTGTCCCTTGGGTACGGAAGAATTTCTTTTAAAAGAACACAGAAAATGCTAATTGTAAAAGAAAATATTAATAATTTTGTCCATATTCAAATTAAGAACTTCTGTTCATCAAAAAAAAAAACATAAGGAAAGTGAAAAGAAAGTGCTATAAATTGTCAGAAAATATTTACAACACATAAAATCAACAAAAAATAGTACCTAGAATATATATATATACTCATGTAAATCATTAAGAAAAGTTTAAAGAACCTAATAGAAAAAAGGGCAAAAGGTATTAATAAGTTTTTCATTGGAGAGGAAAAATATAATTCCAATAAATATTAAGAGATGTCCAGTCTCACTACTAATCAGAGAAAGACATACAAAGACAATATTTTACACCCATTCAATTGGCAAAAAACAAGTCTGTCAAACTAATTTTGAAGAAAGTATGCACAAACAGGACTGCTTAAACATGGATAGTGAGAGTATAAATTAGACAATCACTTTGGAAAATAGTTTTATTTTCCAACGTTTGACGCTCATACCCTACACCCAGCAATTCTACTTCTGAGAGAAACCCTTAGCCATATACAAGATTCATAGAAGCACTGCTCGTAATTTTTTTTAAATGGAAATACTCTAAATACCCATGCATTTGACAAATGTTTATTAAGAGTATATTTCAGGGGCCGGCCCTGCGGCTTAGCAGTTAAGTGCGCGTGCTTCGCTGCTGGCGGCCCGGGTTCAGATCCCGGCGGGCACCGACGCACCGCTTCTCTGACCATGTTGAGGCTGTGTCCCACATACAGCAACTAGAAGGATGCGCAACTATGACATACAACTATCTACTGGGGCTTTGCAGAAAAAAAAAAAAGGAGGAGGATTGGCAATAGATGTTAGCTCAGAGCCAGTCTTCCTCAGCAAAAAGAGGAAGATTAGCATGATTGTTAGCTCAGGGCTGATCTTCCTCACAAAAAAAAAAAAGAGTATATTTCATGATAGGCCTTATATTAGATGTTTGGATATAGTCGTGAACAAAACAGATAAGAACAATTACTTCGAATATCTTATATTCCAGCATATGACCAAACGACATAATAAATAAAGTTACGTAGCATGTTAGAAGATGCTGTAGAAAAAGTAGAGCAGGGAAGAGGGATGGGAGTGGGCAAGATATGTCTTATTGAGGAGGTATGACTTGAGCAAAGATTTGAAGAAAGTGAGAAATTTAGCCCATACTTGGGGCAAAGAAAACAGCTAGAACTAGGGTCCTAAGCAACAATATGCCTGTAATACATACAGGAAGAACAAGGATGCCCATTGGGGATGATGATAAAATGGAGAGCTACTAAAATGTTTTAAGGTTTAAAATGCTAGTGTGGGAGTTGAAAAATAATTTTCCCTCTACCCTTCTGAGTTCTTAGCTGAAATTCCTGTAGTAAAAGACAGATTAACAAACCTCAACAACAACAACAACAAAAAAGATTAACGAGAGAAAAACAAACAGAAGTTTATTAACATGTATACCTCATGTACATATGGGAGATACCCAGGAAAAAAAATGAATAACTACAGACGTGGCTTTAGAATTCTCATCTTAATAGGGAAAGGGCTGGGGGAATGTAGGCCTCCTAGGCAAAAGTAAATGATTTTTAGGAAAGATGAATGGGCCCTCAGAAGAATAGATGGGAGGTCTGACAGTTTGTGAGAAAATTTGTCTGGGTGTGGTATCTCCTTTCCTGTGATATGAGTCAATCTTGACTGGTTGATGAAACTCAAGAAGAAGGGATTTACAACAGTTGGGTTCCTTTTGGAGGATCTGTCTTTAGGCATATAAGGTGAGTTCAGAGAAAGCCTCTCTCTGCATTTGATGTTTTTCAAGTGCCTACAGCTCAAAATAACCAATATATCAAAGCAGCATATTTTGAGGAGGCATATTCTTCTACCCTTCAGTAGCATGATAGAACTTATGCTTCAACAGTATCACTCCGGCTGCTCTATTGAGAATAGACTGTGGGGGACTCAGGTAGAAGCAGAGAGACCACTTAAGAGGTTATTGCAATAATCCGGAAGAGAGCTAATAGTGTATAGGCCCATCTTTAGAAGAATGGATGAATGCAATGTGATATTCACAATTGGAATATTATAGAGTAATGACAGCTAATTTTAACTCAACAATATTGATAAACCTTAGTAACGTCGTTGAGTGAAAAGAAGCAAATATCAGATTACCTATGACATGATGCCTTTTAGATTAAAAACAACTAAAGCCATTTATTGGTTTGGCCATACATATGTATCTAATAAAACTATCTTTTTAAAAAGTAAGAGAACGATAAACACACAATTTGTAATAATAGTAACCTCAGATGAGAAGAGGTACGGAGAGCGACTAGAGAAAGAGTAGTAATAAATGTAAGTTACTGTCAATGTTCTAGTTCTTATAGATTGGGAAATAGAATCAAGATTGTTCACATTTTATGGCCATGCATAGACGTCTCGAGCCAGGGTTATGATTAATCCCATTTTGTATATCAGCTTTTCATCAGGGTTGGGGGCTGAATCAAGGGTTCGGAAAAAGGCTTTCTGGAAGTCCAGACCGGCTTTGCAAATGTGAAGTTTGAGCTGCGTCCCTGTTGCCTGGGCTTCAATTTCACTGCCCCAGACTGAAGTTGAGAACGAGGCTGCACAAGCGCAGTAGGGCCACGTTTACCACTACAAAGTGGAGAAAAGACAACTCCTCCTTCACGCTCTGAAAATTTCAGGACCTTAGCAAAGACTCCTGGGAAATGGAGTCTAAGCGCTGAGGAAACTCGAAGGCTTCTGGGAATTGTAGTCCAAAGCCAGCCCATCTTCTTCTGCGCAGACTCAAAAGTCTCTGTGGAAGGAAACCCTGAGAGGTGGTGCAGCGCCGTCCTTCCACCGGAAGTGTCCGATCGGAACCAGCCCTGTAGGAGAGGTGAGTCCGGGTTTGGGGACCCAGGCGTCTGACCCTTTGTCTCCTCCAAACACCCAGTCCCTACGGTGTTCTCTTCGGGATTGTAGCAAGCCTGTGGCGACCTGGACCCCGGACCTCAGAGGAATCCCGAGGAAAGGTGGAACTAGGTTCAGCGTTGGGAGGGCATTCGCGCCCCCTTATTTCGAGAGGGTAGGGTGGTTTCCATAGTTACCCCCGCCGCGTATTACGTCAGCGTTGAGGGCATAGAGGGCGTGGTTCCGGGGGCAGAAGGCAGTCGTGCTGGCGGAGATCGGGGGTCACTGGTTAAGAGGAGTGACCTGATCCAGTCTGGCCACACGGGACAGGGTGGCATCTTTTTCGGATCGGCTGCTTTCTGCCAGAAGGCACTGTCCCAGAGTCCGCCCCCCACGCCTGTTACTCAGAGGAGGAGTAACCGCCTTTTCGTAGAAAAAGTGAGAACAGCCCCGGCCTTCTCATGAAATTTATTCACACTTTAGTATTTCCTGTGTGCCGAGAATGCCATGAAACCGATACTGAGCCCCTGCCCTCGTTCTAGAACGAGAGACAGACCCCAAAGCAGGCAGTTGTAAGGCGGTTGGAAGTGCCTCCGTGTGAGAAACCAGGTGCTGTGGGAGCCTTCCCCAACACGCGCTTTAAATCCCCTGCTCTGCCCTGTGGCGTCTGTTAGATGGCCCCTAACTTCCCTACCTCCACCAACAAAACTCTTACCCAGTCCGCCTTCTATCCGTGCATACACACCAGAGACCTACTAATCCATCAGGAACCGTGCTCTTCACCAAACCTCCACCTTTCCGAACATAGCTAATTACTCCTTCCTCTCTGTTCTAATGGCGTTTGTTTACATATCTGCTTAGCTATTTTTGTAACTCTCCCCCAACATAATGATTGTAAAGCACTAGATGCTCAATAAATGTTTATTAGCTTGAAGTTAGTAAGACATTTTAAAACCAGCTTTAGGGGGAATATATCAAATCCTTAAGGACTAGATAACTCTGTCTAGAGTTGTGGACTGTTTTAAGTGGATGAGAAGTGAAGAAACACCTGGAGACGCGACTTTACGCTATCTGAGGAGATAACATATATTGCAGAACCAGCCACTTAGCATGTAATTGAAATTTAAGCGAACTATGGAGTGTGTAGGTCCATCTTCCTATACTAAATGAGATAATGCCCATAAAGTATTAGGACACAACCAGGTAAGGGCTTAACACATCTAGGAAACATAGCAAGGAGTAAAATTAAACCTCTATCAAAAGAATGTCCCAGTAAACTGTGAAGGATTGAGACTCTCTGATTGATATATCATAGCACTAGCACCCTTTCTCCCCCATCTCATTGCTAAATTTTGTTCTTACTTATACCCAAACTCTGTTTTCCAAGGTTCAATCTGATCCTGTGATCTTCATTTCATAATCTTGGAGAATTAATCCCTATATTTATCTTCAACTGCCCTTTCCATAGATCTTGTCTAAATCTATAATTCCATTCCTAGCTCCTTTCCATTAAAATGTCATGATATCCATTGGAAATGTTTTTCCAAGTGGATGTCTCATTATCATTTTAAATACAGAATATCCAAAACACAAAGCATCTCAAACTTTCCTAATTTCTACTTTTATTTATTTTATTCAAATCAACAATTGTGAGAACTTAAGAATAAATAGTAATAATGCATGGTTCTTAACCTCATGGAGCTCAGTCAGTTGATGAAGAAAAACAGCCAAACAACTAAAAATAAGACAAGGTGGTATGTGTTGTATTCACAGATATTATGTGTTAGCAACTCAGAGTAGAGCTGATGAATTCCTTATCAGAGGTAGTGGAATTCTTAGTCACTCCAGTTATTACACTCTGCAAGCTGGTCTCACCATCACTCTGCTGTTCATTCCCACTTTCCCAGCTCTTCTTCTGTCCCTTTCTTTTTGCCCTTCAGAGTCTTTCCCATCCTTTATTGTCTAGTGTAAGCCCCACTACCTCTAGGAGATATTTGCTACCACTTGCACACATACACATGCATTCTCTCCCTACCTCAGAACCGTTTGGATGTTGTGTCTCTACCATACAACTTGTTTAGTACCTCAGCATTCAACATTTATGAAGCACTTTAAACATGTGTGTCATGTGAAACATGTTTGTTATTTAAAGGAAATCTATGTTTGTTTTATGTCATTTCTGACTATTTTGAAAACTCTTTGCAAACTCAAACACTATCTGTTTAATTCCGTATAGCTGTACCTCAGAATACAGATTTTCCAAGCATGCCCTGTACTAACCCAGTTAACATCCCAGGAATCTGTTTCTAACAAAGTTCTCACATAATGATTAGGCAATGAGCCCAGCTCTGAACTCTGACTTTCTTGGAAACCACCACCATACAACTTCTAGCCCAGTGCTTTGCTTGTGTTAAGATTCTAAAAGTACATGTCAGTGCAACAGTCAGTAGTCAACTGGGTGAAATGTTTAATAGAAGGACCGGAAAGATTGATATTTGCATTTTGCTATTGTACTCTAGAGCTTCAGCTCTAAATTCCTTTTATTCAGTTTTTCAGTTCAGAAACCAGACTGACCATCCTCATGTGCTGATAACACTTGAGGAACTGATATTCGGTAACAAGACTCACAGAAGGCTGACAAGCAAGTCATAGTGCTGGTTTATTATATTTTATTTTATTGGTGAGATGACAGGCCTCAATATCCAAACCATGGACTGAGCCATGAAACTAGGAAGGTGGAGAAGCAACTGTTGGGACAAAAGGAAACCTATCTAGGGACTTTTGGGGAAGGAGCTAGTCATACTGACTGAAATTATTAACCTCTGGCTCTCAAGAATTGTTGTCCTGTTTTATTATTTAAGAGATTTGTAAGTAATCCTAGTTCCAAATTCTGAATAGATAATTATAAGATTCTAAACTTGTATTTTCCTCACACTGCTATGAGTACAGTGGCCTCTTTATGTTTCTGTCTTTTCCTATTGCAGTCCATCCTAGAAATGAACAATGTATTAATCTCCACAAACAGTACTTTTCAGATCATTTTGCTCAAAAACTTTCATTGGCTCCCCAGTGCCTAAAAGATAAACTCTGAATTCATGAACTTGACATTTGAGGCTTTCTACAGTAAGTCCCCAGCCTTTGCCTCTGTAATTTCCTTATACAAACCTGCTGAACTTTTTGCTTTCCCACTTCATGTTCCTACCATTAACCAATTGTTCAAGCTGTTTCCTTGCTTGTAATTTCCTGTTTCTCTCTTTTGCACATCCTAGTCAAATCCTATCCATTCTTCAGAAGTTAGTTTTTTAATTAAGCTTTTGCAGCCTACTGTGCTCTTTTCCATCTTCCAACTTTATGAAACACTTCTATCATTTATCTCTTTTGGTCTTTCTTGTCTTTATGACTTAGATATAATTTGATTGCATGTGGCATGTTAACATTTAGTGTTGCCTTAAATTTATATTGTCTTATATTTAATGTTTTGAATTTTAATAACTTCATTTTTAATTTAAATTTTAAGCTGCCTTGAGGTAGAAATTATGTAACAGTTGTATACCACAAAGCAGGTATTTCAGTGCTTTTACACATAGTACATGCCCAGTAAATTTTTGTGTAAGGGAGAATGACTATTTCTGTATGTAATCTTTCAACTTCCTAGACAGTAATAATAATTTTTTTACCCCTCAGGAGAGTTCTTGAAACTAAATAAGACCCTTCACAAACCAGAAGTGAGTTTTCTGATAATACATTCTATTCCAAGATGACGACAGAATCAAAGAAAGCTTCAGCTCAGAACCTTCAGGAGGATGAAGGACTTCTGATAGTGAAGATAGAAGAGGAAGATTTTGTCTGGCAGCAGGATTCTTGCTTGCAGAGGAGTGATCTCCTCAGACAAGAGCTCTGCCGGCAGCTTTTCAGGCAGTTCTGCTACCAGGATTCCCCTGGACCCCGCGAGGCACTGAGCCGGCTCCGGGAACTCTGCCATCAGTGGCTCAGGCCAGAAACCCACACCAAGGAGCAGATCCTGGAGCTGCTGGTGCTGGAGCAGTTCCTGACCATCCTGCCTGAGGAGCTCCAGGCCTGGGTGCGTGAACATTACCCAGAGAGTGGAGAGGAGGCAGTGACCATACTGGAGGATTTGGAGAGAGGCTCTGATGAAGCAGTACTCCAGGTACAAAGGGGATGGGATATCTAAGACCGTTGGAAGGGATGGAGTCCCACAATGGGAGAAAAGGGCCTGAGATTGAATATCTAGTGAGACTTGCAGGAGCTCTTAATTCAATGTGCATTTATGTCTCCTTTCCTCTCTGTTTGGTACTATACTACATTTTACAGTTGAGTCAGACTTAATTCTTCCTTCCCCAGTTTTGTATTCCTACAGGAGGTTCTCTTTGTTTTTGGAAGATGTTTAATTCCAACAGAGATTCTCTCATAAGCCCAAATATACTTTATTTTTCTCAGGTTCCAGTCCATGGACATGGACAAGAAATATTAAGGAGAAAGGTGGCACCTCCTGGACCAGCACTTAATGTCCAGTTCCAGCCAGTGGACACCAAGGCCCTTCCTGATTCTTCAGAACCCCAGCTCCTAATGGACTGTGGTAAGGGGCAGTATTCTGTGCGGTGCATGTCACTAAAGAAGTGGGACAGTGAATCTGCCTTCTCACACTAGTCTTAGTTGCTGTAGGTGGTCCTTTCCTTTATTAACCCAACGAGAAGTAGAGATCTTTTTTTCTGTGTGTCATTGGCCAATTAAAAAAAAGAGAGAGAATTTTATTCCTTATCCAGAATATTTCCATTTTGCCATTTGTTCGTTATCTAGAATATTTCCAAAACGCAGGATGTTTTTATGTTATGAGCAAATTAAAAGAAAGAAAAATGAATGAGTTGAAAAAATGTCAGGGAATGAGAAAAGCAAAAGAGGAAGAAGCACATAGACAGAAACAAAACAAGTTAATAGAGAAGTACATGTAATGATAGAGAAAGAGAGAGGCAGATACGTGATGATATATTCATAAATAGAATATAATTCACAGATACATAGAATAAGACCCATATTATTGCCCTTTTTATTGTACTTTTGGTCTTACAAAGCTCTCTTATGTTTTTATAGAGTTGGCCATACTTCTGGTGATTACTTCCATAGAATACTTATTGCTGTTCTAAAACTCATCTGTTTGAAAAGTTCATGGACTCAGTATCACTTGAGGTGTGAATGGTCCCAAAAATAAGCTCAAGAATAAATTACCATAAATTTTTTTTATTTTTTATTTTTTTTATAATTTTATTTATTTATTTTTTCCCCCAAAGCCCCAGCAGATAGTTGTATGTCATAGCTGTACATACTTCTAGTTGCTGTACATGTGACGCGGCCTCAGCATGGCCGGAGAAGCGGTGCATCAGTGCGCGCCCAGGATCCAAACCCGGCCCACCAGCAGCGGAGCGCGCGCACCTAACCGCTAAGCCACGGGGCCAGCCCCATAAATTTTTTTTTAAATACCCAAATTCTGCCTTCAAGTTTGTTCTGGAAACATTTCCATCCACCCCATCTAATATTGTAAATTTTTCCCACCCTAAGACCAGCACTGCCTAACTGCCTTTCCTGCACTAACTTATTCTAGACAGGGGAATCCATATAACAACAGGGGTTGCTTGATTCCAGCACAATATAGAGTCATGAGCACAGTATAGATTCATGAGCTAAAAGGTAGGAATTGTGAGGACTAAATAAATGGTCCTGGAAACCAGGCTAAGGAGTTCAGACATGTTGTGGAAGAAAACAGATTAAAGTTTTCTGAGTAGAGTGTAAGAGGATGACAGGGTTTAATGACAGGCTTTCATGACAATTAGTCTGGTAAGGGTATTTAGGATGGCTAGGAAGAATAGCTCAGAGTCAGAACAGCAAGGAGACTGTTATAGTCATCTAGACAGGAAGTGGTGAGGTTTTTGACTAGGGTGATAGTAACAGAAATGTAAAGAAAGGGATATATATAGGGGACATTTAGGAGAAAGTGGTGACAGAACTTGATTAGCTATGGAAAATGAAGAATAAATGGAAGGATAGATTGGATGGATAGATGGATGGAGGTTTTCTTTTCCACATACACATACCTCAGAGTCATTTATAGCTTTACTTTTCTCCCTGCATCTGTGTCCTCATCTGCTTTCTTTGAGTTGGTGCCTCCTTTCTCCCTCTAAGCCTAACACTCGAAATGTATCATAGACTCAGAGTTCCCAAGATCCTCTGTCATATTGCATAGTTCTTTCTCCTTACTTTGTCTCCCCCTGATTCTTGCTGGTGATGATCCTCTTCCCAGTCTTTTCTACTTTATCTGCTCCTCCTTAGATGTCTGTTTCTTCTTGCTGTGAAACACTGCATACACACTTGCTTTTACCAATTTTTCTTTCTTTGTGTCCATGTCCATCACTCCTTTCATTTGAAAAGTCACATTTTTAGAGTGGCCAGATGAAGTACCAATATGTAACTATCTTGGGTGTACCTCAAAATTTTCTTTTCTTCCAGCTCAGCAAACAGGTATTTACCTCTTTCTTTTTTCATTATTTTAGATAATGAGAGTGAAAACAGTGGATCCATGCCGAAGTTGGACATTTATGAAACAATGGAATCGCAGAGAATTATATCAGGAAGAATTTCAGGATTCATATCAGAAAGATCTGCTGAGTCTCAAGACATCTGTAAGTCTGCAGGCAGGATGAAAAGGCAGTGGGAAAAAGAACCAGGGGAGTCTCGGAGACCATCATCTGCTCAGGATGGATGTTTTAGTAAAATCCTCACCCACAAAAATACACTTAGAGGTGAAATAATAAGCCATGATGGATGTTCTGAGAGAAGCTTAAATCTGAACTCAAATGAATTTACACACCAGAAATCTTGTAAACACAATATCTATGACCAAAGTTTCAAATGGAATTCAGATTTTATTAAGCATCAAAGAATTTATGCTGGAGAAAAAATCCACCAATATGGAAAATCTCTGAAGAGCCCAAACCTTATTAAACATGCAGCAATTTTCAGTGGAGAGAAAACCCATCAGTGTAATGAATGTGGGAAAGCTTTCAGACACAGCTCAAAACTTATTAGACATCAGAGAATCCACACTGGAGAGAGACCCTATGAATGTAATGAGTGTGGGAAAGGCTTTGGGGGGAGCTCAGATCTTATTAGACATCAGAGAATTCACACTGGGGAAAGACCTTTTGAATGCAAAGAATGTGGGAGAGCATTCAGCCTGAACTCACATCTTATCCTGCATCAGAGAATTCACACTAGAGAGAAACCCTATGAATGTAGTGAATGTGGGAAAACCTTCAGAGTGAGCTCACACCTTATTCGACACCTGAGAATTCACACTGGAGAGAAACCCTATGAATGCAGTGAGTGTGGAAGAGCCTTCAGTCAGAGCTCACACCTTAGTCAACATCAGAGAATTCACAAGAGAGAAAACCTGTTAATGTAAAGAACTTAAATTCATATGGAAATGCTAAAGAAATAGCAAAACGTGAAAAACATTGAATAAAAAATAAATACTGGGCGAGATGAATGACTAAAAGACCAGCGTCTCTTTTTTGTCTCTTTCATTCTCCAGCTTGCTGATCTGCATATGGTCTTCACCTCTGTGTGTGTGCTTTCTGTGAGAAGGGATGTGCCTCTTCCATTGACTGCTAAAGTCAAACCAGAATAGCAGAATTTGGGGGAGGCTAATAGATAGGTTAGTCTATGGCAATGGAGATAGAAAAAAAGACTCTTTGGGGAAATAACCATGATTACAGTTGGGGGGGTGGTGGTGGCGAGATGATTCAGGTAAAGAGACTGATCACCAGCCCTAGTTAATGATTCTCCACAAGAGGAGGTAAGCTAAGCCCAGGAGTGGAATAGCTTGAGCAATGCACTGCAGAACAGTGCTTTAGGAACATTCCTTTAAAAAATAAAGACACAACAAAGAGAGTCATGACAAACAAGAAGACATATGCAATAGTGGCATTCCAATATATAGGCCAAAATCTATGTCCAGAAGTCATGCAGGAAGTAAACATAACCAAAAGAGCATATAAGGCAAGAAGCCAAAATCCAGAGATTCAAATAAGACAGGAGGGGAGTAAAAGTAAATTAGGCGAGAGTTGGAGTTAGAGGTGAGGAAAAGTGTTCAAGTTGAACCAAACCTCAGAATTTGGAGGAGATGGACACAGTGGTACAACCAGGATTTTACTGCCACATATGCTGTGGTTTTTTGGCACCTTCCTAGGGTGGGTGGATAGATACTATAGTTTTAGGGAGCTCTTTTGACAGAAATAGGCATCTCTGGCTACTGACAATTCTGGAAAAGGGCTGAGGGAATTAGTACTGCAAATAAAGGTTCTGAAATTTTGTTTCATTGCTGCTGGCTGCTCTTCTCTCCAGAAAAGACTGAGACAGTGTAGAGAGGGTTGGTATCTGAGAGAAGAGTGGAGAGAGGCATTTACAAGTTTGAGCTCTACCAATGATTTCAAGATATAAAGGTGATTCGTGCTCTACTTGTACCTGTTTGATGAGGCACATTTTTGGTAATGTGAGAAATAAAAACAAATATACAAGCTTAAATATTCCACAGTATACAATGTTTTTAGATGAAAACTCTCTAGCTAGAAACAGAACCTCAATACTAGAAATATGATCTAATGTACAAAGTCTTCCACTAACAAGCTTTATAAAAAATTTGCATTTGTTTTTCAATGACCTTGAACTAGAAATGTCCTGATAGGATCTAAATATCCCAATATTTGTTTTTTTAAGGTAAAATTGAACCCATAGTTTGTTTTTTTTTCAGGCACTGTGTTAATGCATCCCATCTCATGATTGTACAAGTGCTAGTATTTTTCCCATTTTATAGTTGAGAAAATTGAGCTGTAAAGTATTCCTGCTCAAGAGTACATGGAGAGTAAACGGTGGAACCAGGATTTAAACACATATTATTCCAGGGCCCTAGTTCTTAACCCTTAACTTTGATTATGTCACTGATAGTATTACCACAGGATCTAAAATCGGAAAAGACAGTACTGGTACAACACAACTTTAAAGTGGAGGGTAAGGGGGTTCGTTTATCACCCTTTTAGAAGGCTAATTAGCCATACATTTCAAAATCAAGGAGGCACCAGGGAGCCGGTAGGCAGCGCGAGACCACCACCGAGAGCGGCTTCCTAGAGAAGCCTGAAAGCGGCGTGCGCCCCGGGTTGGCAGGCGCCTGCCCGGGGGATTGTGTAGCCGAAGGGGCCGGGCCTCAGCCTAGGGTATTGTCCGCAGTTCCTGTCTCTAACTTCCCTCGGGGCTGCTGTTGAGGTTTAAGAACAGGATTCTGGGGATGTAGGCGGCAGCCACAAGAGGGGGCTGCGACTTTGGACCACCAGATCCGCTCCTCCTCCCACCATCCCAGGAAGAGACACCAAGACAAGGCCCCGGGAGGGGGCGGAGAGAAGACGCTCTTTCTTTCTGTCTGTTCTCCCGCCTGCCGCTGTTGTCTCTAGGAAGCTCTGTCTCCCAGAGAGACATTGGCAGAAGAGACCTGTTGGATGGATGAGATGTGTAATCACACACAAGCGCTCAGACCTGTTTATGTTGTTAGTGAACCTCTGGACACAATTTGATCATTTTGTGATTATGATCAGAAGACTTATATGTAGATTTATTTGTAGTGGAAAACACTAGCATGCTTGGTTTGGTATTTTAATTTCATTCCATCTGTGGTCAAGCTTCACGTTGTTTCCATATTATAAATTTTATTGTTTGTCTTGGCTAGTTTGTGCTTTCTGTCACACGTGACAAAATTCACCAGAATTGTCAGTTTTCCTTTTGAATTAATATTTTATAGGTTCTTTTAGTGAATTTCAAGATGACTAATCTTCTTTAACCTTAATAAAAGTTTTCAGCAACCTTTTGCATTGCTCTAAGTTAATAAGGACTTATTTTGCCTTGGAGTGACCCAAAAAAATCACCCCCAAGGGCAATCCCCTTCAAGCAGATACTGCCATATGTCCCAAACTGTGAAGTAAGAGTTTATTCAAACTGTTACATATGATGAAAATACGGGCCAAGAGTCTGGGCTACATGGGAAGAACTCTCACAACCAGGAGGTAGCTGTTAGTCAGAACTTTAGGCATTTCTGTTACCAGAAGACACTTGGACCCTGTGAGGCTCTGAACCAACCCTGGGAGCTTTGCCATCAGTGGCTGATGCCACACCAAGGAGCACATCCTGGAGCTGCTGTGCTGGAGCAGTTCCTTACCATCCTGCCCAAGGACCCACAGGCCTGGACGTTAGAGCATCAGCCAAAGAAGAGGCAGTGATCATGTTGAAGGATTCGGAGAAAGAGCTTGATGAAACAGGACAGCAGGAGTGATTAAATGGGGGCATGTTAGGGAATGAACATCCTAGCCAGAGAGAGAAGCATCCATCCAACCATGGGAGCAAAGTTTCCACTCAACCTGGCTAGATATATTAGTCTCTATGTTTCTCTCTCTCATCCTTTCTGGCTTGCTCCTTACTTCCTCTTGAGGATGGAACAAGACTGTGTGTGCATTCTTTCCCTATTCTATGCCCTGAGAGCTGTTCCCTAAGGTGTTTTTCTAAGGTATTAACTCTGATTCATTCACTGAGCCTTTCACAAATCTGACCACATTTTGATTGTTTCCAGGTTGCAGCCAGTGCATGTGGAATGGGAGTGCACTCAGAATTTCCTCATCAAGCAGCACAGGAGCCACCCACTATTTCTTCCCAGGCCATAAAAACACAGCTTAAATGGAAATATCAAGAATTCTAGGCCATTCATGAGCAAGGTGAGTATCAGAATCCATCTTGAGAGAAGGAGAGTGGTTGAAAGCTCTGCCAGCTATCCACTGCCAAGCTGTCCACTGCTATCCTAATGCCACGTTGAACAGCATTACGAACACCTCAGAGGTAAGAAAAACCATGCTGAATCAGACTGAATATCCATCCTTTCATCCCCGTCCCAGCTTGGGTAGCACCAATAGAGGACATGATGTACAATAACATAATGCTGACCTCCCTGTTATCAGCCTCAGCAGGAAGTTGTACACCAGATTTCCTAGGTACATTTAAAAACCTATTCCAGACTGCTCTCATAAAATTTATCTTTACTTGAACCTATTTATATTTTTATCATGTATAATTTCATGGCCTAACCTCTATGTACATATGGTGCTTGCTCTGTAAAGTAAACTTACTCTTTTGTCTTAAAATTGCCTTTTCTGAATCCCCTGGATCATCTAAAGCATTTTGTACCCTCTTTCCTATTCCCTTTAATAGAAGCTACATCATCTACCTGATCTTGTAGACTCATCTAAACTTTATTTGTTTGGGTTTTTTTCTTTAGTCTCTGTTGCCTTTAAATAAAGGGTCAGAAATGATTTTAAAATATTTCTTAGATCTGTCCTCCTCAGTGTTACATCCTCATTGGATCCGTTCCCTCTAACTTCAGTACATTTGAATGTGTCCTGACCATCAATAAAAACAAATTATTTTTCTCTGTCATTTTCCACATGCTGTCCTCAGACCTTCTGCTTATTTTCATCCTCTTCCACTTTTGACACCCGTTTTTATTCTCATAGATCAATCCACTTCCCCTCTTGATTGTTGCTTTATTCTGTCTCTTTCCTTGCCCACCTGACCACCCAAGTCTGTACCAATAGTGTGCACCAGGGCCTTTCTGCAATTTACCAGTTATCTCATTACTTGATTACAAATCTTTCTCACAGATATCATGAACAGGGAAGGTTAGCCGGTCCTTGATAGTTATCTACATGGACAGACAAAATTAATAGATTTTGACTGAAGAACCACTTATGTTTTCTAAGGTCCACCTTCTCACAGAAAGCCATTGTGGGCTCCCATGTGTAAAAATAGCCCAATGTAGTCTTTTCTTCAAAGTGAAATATTTAGGAAAAGGGTTCATGAAAACTTTTACAAATATAGGATACAGTCTCCATTCACAGTGGCTATAGCCTCAAAAATCCCCAAATACTACTTTGTACTATTTTTTTCCCCTTAATTTGGAGAAACTAGTTGATGAGATTGTGCCCCTGAAATATGGAGACCTCTATGATTCAAGAATTCAGATTCAACTGGCCTGGTTTTCCTCTTATTTCTTTGGTGCTCCCTCATCTTCCAAATGACTCTGTAACTGCAACTTCTCACCCCTTGGTCCCTGCCAATCAGCACCTGTGGGAGGAGTTAAGGAATTCTTTTTCATTCCCACCTCTGGCCGTAAACAATATATCTCCTGCGATCATATGGAGGCCAAGATGGCTATCTGATATGGAACGCCTAGGAAGGAAACTACTTCTCACAAACACTGAAAAAGGCAAATTATGAAGGTTCATTAAACAATATAATAAAAATTCTTCAGTCACATACCCACAATTAAATTATTATGCCTTGTAAGTGAGAAGGTTGAGGGAGAGTTTTCTCATGAAGAAAAATCTTTAGGTGAAGTAGCAAACATTCCTTCTCTTTGGTGGCCAATGTCACATGAGGGGAATGTGTCAAAAAATGCAGAA